ACTGCCCAGCAATTAGAAATTAGAAAAAAAATTATAAGTTCTTTTAAATCAAGATTAAAAAAATATAAAAGATTTGTTCAGAGCTGCTTTTGATTGTTCTATTTAACCTATTAACTGAAATATCATTATTTCAGCCTGTAGTCCACCTTTTCTTTCCTTTCTTTATCATGCCACTGCTTTTTTCTACTTTTTTCGTCATGTAAAGCACAATGAATTGTCTTGGTACTGAAATGTGCTATATAAATAAACTTGCATAGCCTTATTTTTTGAATGACCCATTAAAATCTTCTAAAACTCCTTCTAACTTCCGCCTCTCTGCCTGCTCAGACCTTTTCTGTTAAGCTCCTTGCTTGCTTGTCTTTTACTCCTAACTTTTTATCTCTTAGCCAAAATTATGGAAATATTGGACTAAAACTACTTCTTACCAGCAATTATTATTATTTTTTTTTTTTCTAAAAAGGATTTGATTTTTTTTAAATCGAACTCGAAAGATGGACAAGTTGCCCGCTAATCAGCATAAAATGCTCCCTTCGCCACAAAAGGCCCAAACTTTACAGAAGTTGGCTTTTTCTGGGAGAAAACCATCGACTAGAAGTAAATGGAGTTGAATATGGGGTACAGCGATGATACAACTCTGCCTGTGATCCCAAACAGTGACAGCCTACCGGCAGCCCCCTGGCATGTTTTAGGCGCACCCCCAAAAAAAAATCAGGTGGACGACTCACTGAGGGTCTCAGCAATTAAATAAATTAGAATAGGCAGAATTACAAAAAAATCCCCCCCGTTTCCCCCTGAGAAAAGGAGCTTTTGCGACAGCGAGCTGCTGTCACAACAACTGATAGGGGAGACAACTGTAAATAAGGGAAAATTCCCCCCAAAACGTTTTCCCCACTACAGAATGAAAACCAGGAAAAATTTCCAGCTTCTGAGAAAATAAAAGGTTTGAGAACAACCCTTTCATTCTAAACCGTTTTTCTCCTAAATTCCCCAGAAAAAAAGGCCCCCACAGGACCAAAAACCCCTAATAGTGGCCAACACAGCTGTGGATGGGATTAAAAACTTCTGCAACAAGAAAAACAGAAGTTATGATTTTTTTCCCTAACGTGGTGTCTAAAAAATTCAGAGAATATTTTTGCAATTAAAAAAACGCCCGTCTCGAAAAATTTATTATACACTGTGGAGCCATGGATGACGTGGCTAAGAAAAATCAAAAGGACTGAAGGAGGATTTCACTCGCCTTCTGAATATTGTTGGAGCTCTCAATATCAAAAGGGGTTTTCTCAGCAGACCCTTTGCACCCTTTTCTGTGGAGATGAGATTGTTTCGAGACCCTTGATAAAAAAGTGGTAAAGAACATAGCTACTACATCTGTGAACTTCATTTAAAAATTTTAAAATTTTTTTTTGGGAAAAAAAAAACTCTTCAAGCAAGATGGGTTTTTGTTTGAAAAGGCTGGGGCCCCAGAAGTCTCACATCTAATCTCTTCTATTCGTAAATAATCCACCACAGCTTTTGACCTTCGCCAAAAAACATGGAGTATCAAAACAATGATAACGCTGCCTCCAACAGCTCCAGCAGAGACAACCGGCCAGTTGGCTGAGAAAGAGAGGTCATCACAAAAGGTCTCCCCGTCGAAATCCACTGGAGAAGTGGACCCCTCCGTTATAACCAGCTCCCCACAAACCCAGACCCAGACCTACCCCCCCGTTAAACCCCCCTCACCCCAGACCCTGACCCAGAACTCTCCCATCTCCCCGCTGAGCCTGCCTTTTGCTTTACTGGATTCTGATAACATGGAAGGAGCTCTTAAGATTGGGACCCAAATGACTCTGACATCTTCTCCATTCAACACCCAAGACCCTGCTACTAAACCAACATCTTCCAAATGCCGCAGAGTCCCACCACCTCCTAATCTATCTCCTCCTAATCAGGATCTTCAAATCACTTTTCTGTGATACAGTCTGGGCTCCAGTGGTTTCTCTATCAGAAATGAGCAAGTCCAGGAAAAACTTGATCCCTTAATAGTAGATAGTTGTAAAATCTCTGTGCTTATACGTGACAGAAAGAACAAAGCCAAAAGGATATGAGACAGTAATAAACAATCAAAAAAACGCCATAAACTGTCAGGTACAATTTTGACAGAGTTGCTGATATTAACTCTGTTAATATCAGCAACTAAGTCATAAATCCTAATTGAAGGACAGGGACTTTTTTGTGTCAGTAGGTAACTTTACATCAGAGACCACAAAAGTCCCATGCGGTGTTCCATAAGGATCCATCTTAGGGCCCCTCCTATTCAATATCTACATGCTCCCCCTAACTCAGATTTTAATAAACAAATACGTAAGTTATCATAACTATGCAGACGACAAACAGCTATATGTTACGATGTCACCAGGTGACTATGAACCCAATGCTGGGTAAATGCTTAGAAGAAATGAATGAATGGATGTGCCAAAATTTTCTGAATCAAAACAAAACTGAAGTAATAATCTTTGGACCAAAGTAAGAGTGTTTAAAAGTTAGCACACAGCTTCAGTTAATACAGCTAGAAACCACCAGTCAGGCTCGAAACCTGGGTGTAGTGATGGACACAGACCTGAACCTTCAGAGGCACATAAAGATAGTAACAAGGTCGGCCTTCTATCACCTAAAGAGCATCTCCAGGATTAAAGGACTAATGTCTCAGCAGGACTATGAAAAACAAATTAATGCGTTCATGTTTAGTAGAATTGATTACTGCAACAGTGTCTTCACAGCTCTGCCTAAAAAGTCGATCAGACAGCTGCAGTTGATCCAGAATGCTGCTGCCCGTGTCCTCACTAGAACTAAGAAAGTGGAGCACATCACCCCGGTTTTAAAGTCCTTACACTGGCTCCCTGAAGCTCAGAGAATAGACTTTAAAATACTTCTGTTAATCTATAAATCACTGAATGGCTTAGCACCAAAATACATTACAGACTTGTTGTCAGTGTATCAACCACCCAGACCTCTCAGGTCTGCTGGCTCAGATCTACTCTGCATACCTAGAACCAGAACCAAGCAAGGAGAAGCAGCTTTTAGTTCTTATGCTCCACTAATCTGCAATAAACTCCTAGAAAACTGTAAAAGCGCCGAAACCCTAAGTTGCTTTAAATCAAGATAAAAAACTTATTTTTTTAGAGTGGCCTTTGAATTTGTTATCTAAACATCATTAGTTAAGTTTTCAGTCTTGACTTGACTTGACTTCAGATTAACTGTACCGGTTCTGGCAAAAAGAGTGGTCAAAAATCAAGCCAGAATTAGCCAAGAGTGTGTTTATTGCAGCAAAAAGCATGTGGCTGAGGTGCAGATAGCTAAGAGACATTTAAGAAAATATTAGTGGAAGTGCATGTACATATTTGACATGTCAAATTCTAAACCCTGTGTTAAGGAAAACACACAACATATTCTCACTTGTGTACCCAGTTATTGTTATCAAAAAGTGATGGAAGTTGTAGTTTTTAATCAGACCAACCAGGAAAATGGGCAGTTTAAAATGGCGGTTATTGAAAGCCAGAAATTATTGATATTTGTTCTCATAATGACTATGGAGACAAGATGAGTGTTCTTTTAGTGACAATTCTTCAATGGGTTACAGGATCCACAGATAATAAAATAAAATAAAAAATGAAGGAGACCAGTCTATGGGAGTTAAAACAATAACAAACAGTTCAAGAGGGATTCAGTCGCGTTTAATTCCCAAGTATTTCCTGCTCACAGCATCACATTTAACTAATCACAACGTTCATCACAAAGACATCAAACACAGGACAGACTGAAAATGAGCATCTAAAAAAAAACCCTCTCATATAATGCTCAGTAAATGTAATTCTATCTCCATATGGGTTAAATATTAAATCCCAGAAAATGCTGTTATATACAAGATAGACTGTGCGGCCTAACTCAGTATTTAAATTTAAACTTTTCCCACCTTTACATGATTGATTATCTTATTAGCATTCAAATTAATATCTTTATTCTTACATTTAACCCAAAAACCCCCCTTTAAGTGCCTTACACATATACCCGCCACAATACACGAACCAGTCTGTTTTATTGACAAAAACATGTTTCTAGAGGATTTCGTCTCTTCTTGGCCCCCTCTAGCTAAGACCGCATGCGCTGGGGCAGTTCGCAGCCGAGTGTGATGCGGCTGGGATGAGGAGCAGCTCCTCCAAGTCCAAGGCTGTGGTTCTCGACAATCGTCTAGTGGTCAGGGTTCCATTCACTGCGAGGGAAAGTATGTTGTTACTTGCTTTAATTTTCACTCGACAGACACGAGAGTTTTACATTTCACAAGATGTAATATATCTTCACAAGAGCTGCTTAGACTTAACATTGTCTTTTCTTCAGCACTTTTTGCATCGGCGTTTGGTTTAATTTAAATGTCATGTAATTCCGCTAACAACACCTTAAAGGCCATCACAGTGTTTACCTGTCTACCAGGTTTTGACAAACGGAATTTAAACCATGCATTGGCCAGGAATCCAAACCAGGTCACCTGCTTGGAGAGCAGCTGTTCTTATCGCTATCCCACCAATGGCCGCTTAACTGGCTCTGCCTTAAAGTGTGATAGATCCCCTGGAGTTATTTGACAATAGTTGTTTTGCCTGATCAAATCTCAGTCTAAAAAACAGTGACAGTGTTTGCCATCCAAAACCTCTTGCTAGATTGACCAAACCAAAGAGATCGTCACTGACCTGATGGACCTCTATTAAACGCAGATGGTATGAGGCACAAGTGATAGCACAGCCCCAAAGAAAACTCTCCTTGAAGTTTTGGTGAAAAGCATGTTCCCGGAAGCCTAGAACACAGCCAACCATGCTTTAGCCATGGCTTAGGATGAAACTTTGAATTTTGTATCTGCTTTGAAACAAAACATATGAGTCATACTTAGTGAGCCACAGCGTCAGGTGCCACGTTCAGCTACAGGTATTCAGACATTGTTAAAATTCCAGCTTTTGGTGGCTTGGAACTTGTCCCTTTTGGCCTAGTGGTCAGGATTTGGCTCTCTCACCACCGTGGCCTGGGTTCCATTCCCTGTGAGGGAAGGTATGTTGTTACGTGCTCATTTTTCTTGGTCCAGTCTTCAAAGCACCGTTGGTATTCATCATCATAGACCTCTTGCTACCTTCAGCAAACCACAAAAGTCTGAACACTGACCTCCGAAAACTCTATTAAAGGGAATTGTACATGGCACATGTAAGACCAAAGCCCCAAATGAAACTGCTTGAAATTTGAGAGAAAGGTAGTATCTTGGAAGCCTAGGAGGCATGACTGTACCTGCAACTAGGGCTTTAACTGTAAAACGTTTCTCAGCTTTAAACCGTACACGCACATCATACCTAAGGAGCCACAAAGTCTGATTAATTTGGAGAGCTACCGAATGGAAGACATTATCGAAATGCCTTCTGACTTTTAACGAGCCGCTCGTCCCTGTTGGTCTAGTGATCAGGATTTGGAGCTTTCACCGCAGCGCCCGGGTTCGATTCCCGGTCAGGGAAAGTCTGTTGTCTATTGTTATAGTTCCGTGTTGTCTAAGCTTATTCTAACTTAGACCATGTTCACCAGTACATTGAGGTCCGTGATATGCAAATTTCCCAGAAATGTTTAAGGCATTATGATAGTAATTCTGTCCCAATGTTGATTTGTGAAGTGAAAAACTGTAATTCCTTCTGTCTAACAAAATTAAGAACACCCTTACATTGAGATGGTCAGAAAACATCCCCTTCCTCAAATGGCGCATTCACCTCTTTATCATGTGTTACAAATGTTTTTTTTGTACAAAGCCCTTGATCACATATCCTCCATACCATACGTGGACTACAATATTTTCTAGGAGTTTACCCATTTCTGTTTATGTTAATTTGGCAATATTGGTGGCCATTTGGTTTCACAAGACCTCACAACGCTAATGGTAACAGCAGACAATTTGAGGTTGTAAATTTATCTTTTAGACACACATTGAAAGATGCACAAAGGTACTTGGGTATTAAAATGTTAATATATTTGTGTTTCACTCGACAGACACGAGTTATTACATTTCACAAAATGTAATATATCTTCACAAGAGCTGCTTAGACTTAACATTGTTGTTTCTTCAGCACTTTTTGCATCGCCATTTGGTTTAACTTAAATGTCATGTAATTCCGCTGACAACACCTTAGAGGCCATCACAGTGTTTACCTGTCTACCAGATTTTGGCAAACGGAATTATAAACCGTGCATTGGCCAGGAATCCAAACCAGGTCACCTGCTTGGAGAGCAGCTGTTCTTACCACTATCCCACCATAACTGGCTCTGCCTTAAAGTGTGATAGATCCCCTGGAGTTATTTGACATTAAGTTGTTTTGCCTGATCAAATCTCAGTCTAAAAAACAGTGACAGTGTTTGCCATCCAAAACCTCTTGCTAGATTGACTCAGCTAACAATAAGACAAGCAAAACAAAGGGTTTTGTGGGTGCTTTTTAGGAATTTTCTACACCTTATAAAGGAGAGAAAGCCAGCGGGCAGACGTGCCGCTGAAGAGGTAAAAAATAAATAAATGGGTTCTGGAACCTCAAGGGCATCAGGGGTGCGTCCTTCTCCAAACTCTGCGATTTATAAAATAATGGAAGAAAAAGGTGGGGATGATTATGTTAAATGTGCTTTAATTTGGGAAGATAAGTTTGGTTTTCCACAAGGTGGAAGTTTAAGTGTAAATCAGTTGAATAAAGTAAAACAGTTGATGGATGGAGATTGGGAGAAAATAAAAAATAAAAAAGGTTAAAAAACAAGATTTAGATCAGAGAGAAATATGGGTAAAGTGTTGGAATAAAGGGATTACGGAGGCTATCAGTAGGGAAAGAAAGTCTGAATTAAAACAGATGGCAGGGGAAAACGATTTGTCTGGGGACGTGGGAAACAAGCATGACAATGCTGGTTATACCGTTGAAAATCCCACGTTTCCACCTCCATATAGACCTTGTGATGCTTCACCCTCCTGTCCATATCCATCTTTACAGACGGAGTTGCAGGCCCTCCAGATGGCAGACCTCGATCTAGACTCCCGTCCTCCTCCAGCAGCAGGTCAAGCAGTAAATCAGCCCACAAGTCGGGCCAAAATTTAAAACTCGCTATTCCGCTTCAGCATCCAGCCCGGAGTAAACCCACACCTTTTTCCAACCTGTTTTGCAGGCTTATCTCCCCCGGGAGCACACCCGGCCCCAGCGGGGCCCAGAGATTGTGATCATCCACCCTCCTTCTCCCTAACTCCATCCCTTTGTAAGAAAAAAACGGGCCTACAGATGAGCAGCGCCCGGGGAAAAAAAATTAATCAAAGGGAAAGGGGGAAAATCCCCTTTTATTCTCCTTTTCCTATTTAATTTTTCCTGATTTTGGGAATGGCTTGAAGGGGGAAAAACAGCGGGGGTGATGAAAAAAAAAGGGGGGGAAGTTAGCAATGCCCCATGTTGGAAGTAGCGGAACAAATTTAGCCTCATTTTGATTTTTCCCGATGGGGACTGGGGCAGACACCCAAAAGCCAGCACGCATTGCTTTAAAGATCCGGTAGAAGTTTGGAAAAAGTTTTGTTTCTGAATTTAAAGCTTAAATGCCCGAGTGGGGGCCGGGACTGGAACAAAAACCCCCGGGGCCCCTTGCTGCAAAAATAAAAACCTGGAGATTTATTTGGGTTTTTGACTCCCAAGATCCTCGGTTTGCGCCTTGGCGGAAACTGGGGGGAAAAATGGTGATTTAAATCATCTTTAAAGGGGCCATGGTATAATGCCGGGGAACTTTTTGTGAAATTTTGTCACAAAATTTTCAACAAAGGAGTGATTTTTCCCGTCCCTAACAAGCAAAAAACCCCCGATGGGGACTGTCGCTGATTTTCTTTAAGGATGGAAGAAGTTTTTCAATAAACCCAACGCCCCCCCCCTTCCCGTTACTTTTTGGGCCCCTGGGAAAAAGATGCGGGTGTGGATAATTAGGGAAAGGGGACTTTCCCTGGGGGATCCCCAGCACAAACTAAGACTTTTATTTTTGGTGGAGACAGGAAAGGTGCGTTTCGAGGAGCTGAAAAGACTTTCTTTACCCCAGTGAGACGTTATCAACGAAAAAAAGAAGAAAAAATTGGACAAAAGAGAGCCTGTTTTGGGCAAAAACCTTGCTTTGCCCGGTCACAATACAAATAAAACGTGGTTTTTTTTTTCCTCGAAACGGGCCGGGGACCCGTGGAAAGAGGTGGGGGAAGGGGACAGTGGCCCCCCGCTCCGAGTTTTCCAAAACTGTGGACAGAGGGGTTTCAGGGAAAAGAATGCTTTTCCGGGGAGAAACTAAAAGGGGGCCCTGACGGTTTGAAACCCGGGGAAGGGGGGGAGGAGGGGGGACTCTGGAGGGGGCCCTGCCATTCATTTTGAGGGGGGGGTCTCTTAAGGAGGGGTGGGGGTTTCACAAACCACACACATTTTCCCATGATGACATGTTTTCCCCATGGGGTTGCAAACAGAGGCCGTATTACAGTTAGAAGGGTTTGCCCCCCGTATTTTTAAACCGGGGGCTCGAATCCCCAATACACAAAACCCGCTTTTAAAGAAGGGGCCTATGTTTTCTATGAGGGTTGGACGGTAAGGAAATTTTTTTTTGTTGTAGTTTGGGATGGGACACCACTTTTTTATCAGCAAAAATGTATCAAAGAGCAAAAAAACTGAGGGGTTTCGTTATGTTTCATTCTGTCCTGCTTGGGGTTTAAAAACATTTAGGAAAGTTTTTCTGTTCCTCTAAAGGGGTTCCACTCCGCAGGGAGTGCGGGTTTAAAAAAACATTATTTTTTTTTGCCCTCCTTTTTTTCCTTTTTAAACTTGATGGGTGGGTTTTTAAATTGTGCAGATTGAATTTTGGGTATTATTTCAAACCCTGATGGGACTGACAGTTCACAAACCCCAGAACAAATTTGACTACATTGGGCCCCCAAATCAACCCTTATATTCATATCAGGGGGAAGCTTCCAGTGGTCCTGTCCCCTAACACTTTGTCACAGGGGGGGAAAAGGTAATGCTGGACCCCCAAGTATGGATTGGGGATAAGGATGCAGATGACCCTGAAATTTTGTATTTCAAAATGTATCTGAAGGCCCTTGATTTTGGGACTATGGGGACATTTTGGTAAAATTAAAAAAGGGAGGGGAGTGCCCCCTTCCTCTGACATTACTGGAATGATCACCCCAGCAGCTTTATCTGTGACTTTGATTTTTCTGAACAGCGCATTTCTTTCAATTTTTCTGGTTTCGGAAAACCGGGCATGTATCATTGGCCAAGTCTGAAAAAAAAGGGAGGGAAAGGGATGTGGGGTTTTTTTGTTGGGCCATTGCCCCTCCTTGCCACGGGTTTGGGGGGAAAAAATCTAGATCCTATAGGGGTTAAAATGTTCCCCTTCTAAAAAATGCTTTCCCAAAAAAGACATTGTCCCACTTTTGGGTTCCCCCTGTAATCGTACAGTGAAACCTGATTTCACATTCACATCTTTTTTTAGTACTGCTTTTTTGGCCGGAAAAATAGTCTTCGAAGCCCCTGTTTCCATTGTGGGTTTGGCTCACAAAATATGATTTTGGGTTTTATTAAAGTTGTGAGCCATTTGTTTTTATTCCAAAAAAAAAACCCTAAGGCCTTGTCAGAAACAATACTTTTTAAAAAAAAAAAAAAGTTGGAGGGTTTTCATCCTGTTTTGATTCCCTCCTTAAGCGGGGGAATTGTCCCCTTTGCCCAAAATTTTAAACCCTTTTTGAGAACACCTTTGTTCCTTGTAAAAAAAATTTAGGGCCCCTGGGTTCCCCTGACAAATGGGGATTTTTAAAGGGGACCGCAGGTTTTGTAAAAACCGGTCTTTTGGGGCCCCCCCGTACTCAGTTCCAAATGGGCCTGGCAAATGCTTTTTTTTCCCCTGTCCCCGGGGCCCCGGGAAGACACCCAGTTTTGGGTTTTTTTTGAATTTGGGGGAACCCCATTTTTTTTAACCCTTTTTGGTCAGGGCCCTACACTAGGTTCCGACTTTTTTTTAAACACAGTTGGGAAAG